ATGTAATGGCTCTCCAGAGGTCACTTAGTCCAACACAATAAGCACTACTGACACCTGTGAAAATTAAACTATGAAACTTGCAGGGCTTCCCATTTTGTGCATTTAAATTAAAAATAGAAGCTTAAAAGAATTCACTAATATTTACAGAAAACTTAGGAAATTGACATTATAATTATGTTCTGCTACCATTCAAAAATGATAGTTGCTTCTGTAATCAACACATTTAAAACATTTCCATACCACTACAGGAAGTAAAATGCCATATAGGCGGTCTCTGTTCTCTCCTACTTGCCTTACAGTTGCTCTGTTCAGTGGTGGACAGACACCACTTGATATACACCAAAGCACTAGTTTAGGTTTATATGACAAATAGGAAAAAAAATCATTTTACTGTAGAATTAAGGACATTTGTCCAAGCCTTGGACAATAGTATAGTTCCATGATCAAGAGGAACCTTTTTCTTTTTTTAATGCATTTCCCATTTTAAACTGAGTCACAGATGACAGAGGTATTAGGCACTGGAGCCTATTTATAGTGCCTTCATTTTAGGGAAAATCTCAGGCCCGGTGACACTTGAGCACCTGATTACAGGTGGGTTGTTCACCACCATGTGATTCTCTCATTGATATTTGCAAACTTTGCAGCCACTGCTAGCCAACTACGTTTCATCCCACTTCTCCACATCCCATGCACATAACATAATACTGATAAACGGTATGCTGCAGAATGCTGATCATTCAGATGCTGTCTCTTCAACATCAGGCTACTTTAGACTGCAACAGAAAATAAGATCATTTTCAAGTTTCTGATGTGAAGCTTTTAGTTTTCTGCTGGTCCTTTGTGAAGAACTTCACTCAGTAATCCTGCTCCTGTCTTGTTTGGGGATCCTGATGATAAGACATGACAGAGCAGCAATACACCTCCAACTACCCCGTTCAGACAGTGCTGTAAAATAAAAGGGATTTGAAATACATCCACTGCACTGTCAGCCTTATCCCTTCTAGCTTTTGTTCTTTTGATCTTCAATGTGCTCCTGAAATCCCCACAGGCTGCGCTCCTGTGCCAGTGCCTTCATGAACTTCAGGTGGCAGACAAAGAGCCATTCGAGCAGCAGAGAGCAAGGGCACTTCAGAGGGCCAGCACTGCCTCCCTGCCCCAAACAGGCCCACCTCTCTCCCACATCAAGTCTTTCATTACCCTCATTCTACATCTCCTTGGGAAACTAAATCCTGACTGTTACCCAAGCCCTTCTGGGAATCCCTTTTAAAGTCCAACTTAAGTTACCCACTCAAAACAGACATACATGGGAGCGTTTGATTTAACTGTTTCATATCAGAATTACAGAATCGCAGGGGTTGGAAGGGACCTGAAGAAATCCCCTCTCTAAAGCAGGTACCCTATAACAGGTCGCACACGTAGACGTCCAGATAGGTCTTGAATATCTCCATAGAAGTCGACTCTACCACCTCTCTGGGCAGCCTGTTCCAGTGTTCTGTCCCCATTACCAAAAAAAAATTCTCCTGCATGTTAGCACGAACTTCCTATGTTCATGTTTTAGGCCATTACTTCTCATCCTATCACTACACGCCACCAAGAAGAGCCTGGCCTCCGCCCTCCCTTTAGGTATTAAAAAACATTTATTAAATCCCCTCTCTGTCTTCTTTTTACCCAAACTGAACATACGTTACTCAGCCTTTCCTCATAAAGATGATGCTCCAGACCCTTCATCATATTTGTAGCCCTCTGCTGGACTGCTTCCAGGAGATCCCTGTCATTTTTTGAACTGGGGAGCCCAGAACTGGACACACTGCTCCAGCTGTAGCCTCCCCAGGGCACAGCAGAGGGGAGGATCGCTTCCCTCAACCTTCTGGCCATGCACCCAGGATACCATTGGCCTTCTTGGCCACAAGGGCACGCTACTGGCTCACGGCCAGCCTGCTGTCCACCAGGACTCCCAGGTCCTTCTCTGCAGTTACTTACCTGCACCTTGGAAGAGGGTTCAAAAGGAGAGTGTGAACATGATACATTGTGTAGAATAGATGCGTGGATAAGAGACAATTTTGCAATTTTTGGCAGGGGAAAGGAAGAGAAAGCCCAATACAAAAATAACTGGAAGAAGAAATTTCAACAGCTTTTCAAGTGTTATTGAGACTATTTCTATTATTTTATCATAGACATTCATACATTTGTTAGAGCCCTACCTTTTTAATAACTGATATCACAGAATACATCCCTATGTCATGCTAACTAGCAACTATAAAAATAAAAATATTGCTGCTGGTAAAAAACAAACTGTATAATAATTGATTTGCAAAAACAATGTATGAAGAAAATAATGGCCCTTATTAGAAGATTTACTCCAAGAGCAGGCAACTCAAATAACTGGTGGTCATTTGGTCTAACCCGTGGCAGCCAGGTCACTCCTGAAGATGCTGAGCAATGCTGGCCCCAGCTCTGGCTCATCCTCCCTTGCAGAGCAGTCTGGATGGCACTGCTCCCCAACCCCTACAGCTTTCCCACTCCACTGTCCAATACTACAGTCCTCAAGAATGGGCCTTACTATAATACGGCTATAAAAACGCTATGAGACACCACACCAAAGCCCTTCCTGAAGCAAAGGAAAGCAACTTCCACTGGTTTGCCAGTGCTCTCCAAGCCATTTATCTCAGCCCAGACAGTTACCACTTGTCAGGTATGGTTTGGTAAATTTCTTATGGCTGGTCCCATTCACCTTCTTATCATCCATTTGCTTGGGAATGGCCTCAAAGAGGCCTTGCTATCTTCCTAGAGATCAGGGTCAGGCTCACCAGCTTGGGGATCCCCGAATCCACCTTTCTGACATCCTCAAAGATGAGAGCGATGTTTGCCTTCCTAGTTAGAAGGAACCACCACTCCTAGGCATGTTTCGAAGATGACAGAAAGCATCTGTGCAGTAATGCTAGTCAACATTACAGCTTTTGGATGCCTCACATCTGCTCTCATTATATTTGCACTTCTTATTTTCTTCAGCAGCCCATATCTTCATCTTCCTTGGGGGTAATGCTTTCCTTCTGCAGGCTCACTGGGCTGAGAGTTCCCATACCTTGCCATTAAAAAAAATGAGGCATCAAAGCAGTGGAGCATCTTTTTCATAGCCCACATCCCTAGACCCTCTGCCCAAATGATCTGTGGGGGGATCTTTAATCTTAAGGCGCAAATCTATTTTTGAGAAGTCAACATTCAAAAGGGAAAGGAACATTGCAAAGAAGTGGTTATTTTCTTAAATCCTCTGTATCAGTGCTCACCATGGTGGATTTCAGCTGTTTCAAATGACTTCAGTAAAAGAGATTCTGAAAAGAAGCCTTGCCAGTCAGCGAGCAGTTTAATTCTTAGCAGTGGTAACACATGAGACAGTAAGTACTACCTTCTTTCGCCAGGCCCTTTTTAGCCCTTTACATTTTAACCACATTACAGCTTCCATATAAAACATATTCCCATAGAACCACAAGGAGAGGTTTCTAATGTACTGTGAAGGACACCGTAACAAAAGTGACTGTTGTTTAAAGAAGAATCTCCCTAAACAACACAGCTACATCAAAAGGCTAATCATCCTTACACTTCAGTAGTCTCGTTGAGGACAGAAAATAATTCCAAATGCCCAAATCACTGTTTTTTACACTGTCTGCACGAATACGAAACATTAGGCACTATATCCAGTATTTCTGAACAAAGAGAAAGCTCTTTTCATCCGGAGACTGAGAATTAGAACTGGTGATAAACATGAGGAAAAAAATAATATAGCTAGTTTCTATCATTCCACATGAAGGAATAAGCTACCAAAAGGTTTCATTAAATATTTCCATTTCAACACGACTTAGAAATTAAACTAATTTATCAGAGAGAGGTTCTGTCGCAATGACATATTTTATTTTATAATTCCATCTAGACTAAAAATAAACTCAATACAATGTTTTAGAAGATTACTGTACCTTGAGGGCACCCGGAAAAATACACAAAGTGGATTTTAAAGATACTTGGTACTGTTGTAAAATATCACGTCCATACATTTGAGGATGCAAAATGAGAAACGACTACGTAAAATGAGCAATGAAAAAAAATAGCTTCGTGGAAACAGCTTCAAGCACAAGGATCTGAACTTCTGCACGTGCAAGGATCAAAAACAGGCTTAGACGGGACTGGTATTTCAGCTCAATGTAAGAAAAGCAGAATCAGAAATCTCTAGACTTCATTAATGCTAAGAAAAGTTATTTCCCTTTAAAACTATAGCTGAGCTTGGCCAGCTTCAGGGCAGTACCTACCTTTAATGATACCATATTGAAGAGCAAGCAGAGCGCACACATATGCAGAACCTCTTCAGAACTAGTGCAAATGAAACCATACTGAAGGAGTCTACATGTAACTTGAATTAACCCAAACTTTTCAAGTAAGTAACAAAATTAGAAGTAAAGGCAAGCCCAACCCTTAGAAACTCTTTCTCAATTTACAAGTGCCAGAAAACAACTCAAGTTCACTCAAAAAGAACAGAGCATTAGCAATAAATACGACACATTGTGGTTATTTACTGATGAATAAAAATTTTGAAAGAAACACAGTTATTATGGTTATATGCCTTTGCCCCGTTTAATGCTATGCAAAATGCCATATTCTAACCATAGGCATTGTTAAGATAGTAGTTAATGAATTGTGAGGACAATGCCTGTTCTCTAGCAATAGAGTTGCAACGGGAAAGAAAGGCAAAAGAGCATTTCCAACAGTGTATGTCTTCAAAAATAGTCTTCTGATTGTGCTATTGTTATAGGAAGAAAACTTTTCCACTTATTAAACATTACGATTATTTAAAGCCCAAAGGAGATCATTTTGTTAACTGCTAACATAAGTAAACTATATAAACTTCAAACACTTCAATGTGAGTTTTTCCAAAGGTGCAATTACTTTGTTTTCTTTCCCAGTAGTCTGGAATGTTTGTGTAATAAGCAATCTAACTGCACTTAACAACTTACCCTTACTTGACCAACAAAAGCATTGGCTTCTTCTTCCTGTACAGACAAGTTTTTTGGTAGAAACATATCAAAAACTGGCCCATTGTCATTTACATCCGTCACCACGATATTAACTGTAGCAGTTGAAGTCTGCAGAGAAAGATAAAATTATGAATGAACTACCATCTAATTTACAATTTCACATATGACGACTGATCAGCAATTTTACTGCTATGTATTAGATCCATCCAGTATAGAATCACAGGTGAACAGATGACCCATTTATTTCTGCACGTTTTTGTGAAACAGGAGATGTTATTCATTTGAGGAGCTTATATTTGGCTTAAAAGAAAAGAAAGGAAAAAGCATATCAGATATGTTTTGCCTAATGTGATATTTTAAGAGTTGCAGGATCTTTAATTTAAAAACCCAAACTCAAGCAATCGGAGTGTGAAATAATTTGCACCTCAGTTTGAGCTTCATGAATTTAAACACTGTGGCACCAAAAAGCATGCCTTTGTTTTATACCCTGTGTACGTAACTACAGAAGAGCTGTAGCTAATAATACATGTTTCTGTGGCCTGTGACACAGGCTGCAAACAGAAGGAATGAGCAGTTATTGTCATCTATCAGGGAAAAGAGAAGCACTTACGGAAAGTAAAACACAGTAAGACGGAAGTATTACACCAGGAAATCATTACTACTGCAAGAATAGAGAAACACTGGCATAGACAGCGCAAGGATGTTCTATCCTCAAGATCAAGACACATCAGCACTTGCCTTGCCCAGCAGAAGCCATGCTGCTGTGATGGAGCAGTGGGTGGACATGTCACAGCTGATGCTATTACTTCTGTCCGCTGGGCCGCATGAGAATCTAAATATAATATAGTCTAGAAAAAAAACTTACTCCTGAATGTTCTGGCAGTTTTTTGTACTTCTACTCTTAATCCAAAAATGCTGTTTCGTTTTCAAATCCTCGTGTCGTAACTTGTTCCATCCTGAACCTCAGGTTTTCAGAGCAAGGAGGGCAGAACGATTGTTTCATCCTCACTGGCCTTAATTTTGCTATGACGGGCAAAAGGCATGACAAGAATGCTTACTGTTCATTTTGGTTTGCCACTGACAACACAAAGCAGATTTCCTTTTCCTAATCCAATCATCAGAGCTGGATGTAGAATGAGCTTACAATGAAATGAATGCCTTTTTAAAATACGGTATTGTTTCAGGTAGCTGCTGTCCCCAGAGGAGGCAAAACCTATTCCTAAACCCAAATTACTAAGTCTGATGCTACCAACTTAACACTCTTTAAAGGCACCCTGAGAGCTCTAAAGCTCATTGACATCTCTGGATTTTATCTGAAACATCTGCTGCTGTACCTCCTTTATGCTGAAGCTACGGCTTCACAGGTCCATAATAAAAACAGAATTTCACCTCATTTTTATTACAGGGCATGCTCCTTGGTTTGCCATAGAGCAGCATGTACATTGGCACTTGCAAAGGACAACTAATGCACTCAAAACCTACTCACTGTCTTAATAGTATGTGGTCATGCTTTCATTGCTGTGTCACCAGTTCAATCTGATAACTTACTCTCTGCAGGAGTGATCTGGGAACAGGTCAATCTCCTTCACCTTCCAAATCCTCAGCATTGGCAAGCAGCCCAGTCACAGGAATTGGAGTCAGATGTCTTGTTCACACAGCTACAATCTGCCTGTTGTGCCCTGTGTGCTACACTGCAGTGCTACCTGTGCCAGCAGCCTGTGTTAGCAGACCTCAATACCAGCACAGCAAAGCACAAACCCGACACAAACTTAAGTGCACAATGCAGCTCTTCCAGAAAAAGAGTTGTTCTCTAATGCCCTGTGCAATGGCAAATGCAGAAAACAGAACTGTTCCACAATAGGCAACCACCAGCAACTGCTTTGTGCATTAGAAGTAACTAAGTGAGGATATTCTGAAATGAACAAACCAAAAAAGACGCTTTCAGGCTAGCTTCTTAGATTGGCTTGCGTTCAGTTGTTTGCTAATTGTTTCTGAAACTGCCATTCCCACGTTCAAGGTATATAAGGAAAACGTACTTTGCAATTCATGCATCACTGTCAACACAAAACACACTCCAGAATGTTTGCTCTGATGATGCACAATGTGCAGTGAAGGTAAATTAATCTTCCTAAGCTTACTCGATTCCACAGAATAGAGAGTAATAAAAACTCTTATATTTAATAAACTGAGACAAATATGGCATGGAAAATATTGGCTTAAGAAAGTACTTCTCATTTTGAAAAAATATTTCTTTTCCATTGCAGAGAATTTTAACAGCCTGGGTCTGATAATCTGTGCTATGTTCACTTCTGACAACACTGAATCAACCCACAGCAGCTCAGAGAACAGCTGCCAGAAGACACATTTGCATTTGATAGCTTCTGAAGCAAGTGCTGAAAGCAAAATTACTGTTGTGATTTACTTACAGGTCTCATTTTTGTACTTGAGTGCGTGCTGTGGGGGTGCTCACATACTTATTTCAGATCAACACAGCAACTCGTAATGAAGAACCCTTATAAGCCCTTTTCCTAAAGGACCAAAATCCTAGCAATCTCTACTCTGGAAGCACATCCCTGCAGTATTACTTTGCCTTGAGGAAAAAAAGGGCACTTTTATTCAAGTCATCTTGAAATCCAATCATGATAACATCAGAAATAGATAGCTTACTGAAATGCAGCCTAAGTCTAGAAGGGGTCATTTGAATAAGCACCAAAGTAGACTCAGATTTCACACAGGACAAAAGGATGGAGATGGCAGGGAAGGTTAAGCTCTGCTTAACACAACTTGGATTTTAAGCTGGATTTTAAGATCCTCTTTAATATCTTTGCTCATGACCTGGAGGAGCACGCATGGTCTCAAGTGATGGAAGCACAACCAGCTTCAAGTTTGCAGGTGACACCAAAGACAAAGCTCTTGCTTGTCTCTGCAACGCAGACATACTGCGAATCTGGTCAGAGCACTCCCTAGGTAAGAATAGGAAGAATCATACTTTTGATAGAGTTTACCTGACAAACACAGAAAATGAAGCTACCAGCCTGACTTCAGCATATGCAGGGTGAAAATTTGGCTCCTTGAGTTATTCAGTAGGTTATTCTGTGATGCAGAGTCATCACAGAATGTCATCAGACTGAAGAAGAGGGATTCCAGGTCAGTCTTAAACCCCCAGGATAGAAAGAATTGGAAAGATGAAAGAGTTTAGCTCAGCTCTAGAAGAAAAAAAAAGAACGTCTGCAGCATTTCACAAGAAAGAAGAGAAAAAGATAGGAAGAGAGAGATTTGAAATTGTTCCCAACTGTTCTGTTATCCGTAGGTTTGGTATTTTTCAAACTATTGCTTTTCTTAAGCACCCTTCCTTACCTGCTTGCCAGCCCTGCCACAGAGCATATAGCTCCACTTACTGAGTCTCAAAGTTATACATAAACTAAAAAAGCAGTATCATTGCAAAGGAGTACTATTTTATTGAGATGCAAATTGGGAAAGTTATTTTAAAATATTAAATTTTGTGTTCACCCTAAGCATCCACGGGAACTAAAATGAGATCTTGTAATGTAATTTCACATATATTCTATTTTTTGTATTGGTCACAATTTAGTGAACTATCAGTGCAGTGGCAGGATCACAAAGAAGAGCATTCATACTGAGATGCTTTAGTAGCAGCAATGCTCCTGTGTACACTGGTAACAACAAAACTGAAAATGAGGAACAAAAATGGTGATCACTCCAGAAGTTTTCTGCTTTATCTAAACTCGGGAAACATGCCTCATCCCACTGAGAAAATAATGCCAACCTTTTAGGTGAAGCATCCGTCAGTTACTTGTCTGTATTTCTTTGAGATGCACAGAGAAGCAGTTCTGCCATTAACATCAGAAACTACAATAACCAGGGAGTATATATTTTTTAAATCGACATTTTTATGTCCCCATTAGATGGCTCCAAAGTTTTGCTTAAGTTCTCTGCAAGCAGACATGCTGGTGTGAAATAGCCTTTATTAAACAACTCCAATAAATTAGTGTCTTATTCAAAACTGCAGCATGGAGCAATATTGGTAACATCGCTATCATCTGTCCAATGTAAAACATCACCAGCAACACTGAAATCACACCCACTAAATAATTACTGCCTTAAAGTTATGTTTAGGGCTAGCTACAAGCTCTTTGTTGCTGGAGGAGAAAATAACAAAGCACGTACACTGTGGGTCATACCCTCTGCAACAGCAGTCAAGGTAACTTCCTTGCATATCAGCCAGTGCAGGAGGGTGCCAGGGCACTGAATGCATGCTTTAGGGATAAAAAGTGTGCCACAGAGAGGATAAAATTAAGCACGCTGAGAAAAGGTCATTCATTGTATTTTGTGTGGAGCTCGGTTTCCTGTACTGATAGGGAAGCCTGGAATTTCTTGCCACCGTTCTCAACTGCAAGTGGCCGTGTCTGCCTGAGATCACTCCCAGAGCCATGCAAACTGTGCTTCATTCTCCACACATCTACAATAACTTCTGCTAAGGGCAGCCTAAACGAGACAGAAATGAGGATGCTTCTCTCAAGTCATCACATTAACTATTTTTAAGTTGGTAATTAAGAGCCTTTAATTTTGCAAAGCCAGCTTTCTTGTCTCATTAGTGGGGGGAAAAAGATAGCTATATCACACATCTCAGAGCCTCGGGATGCAAGAAAAAGAATGTCTCTTCATTTATCACTTCTAGTACTTCAGAAGTGCTGCAGCATATCCAGAACCTACATCTCAGCTCCCATGGCCTGCATATGACAGATTAAACTTAAGGCAACGCTTAGAATCACCAGCAGCACGAAGCAGGATTTCTCTTGCAAAGTTTGTGAAAAATTAACGGAAAACGTGAAGAAAAAAACGTTTGAAAAAAATCAGCTGCAGCTAGAATTTCTTAACTCTCCCTCTTTATTCTCCCTCATGCTATACTGTTGATTACAGTCTTCATAATGAAAGCAAACAGTACCTCAAATTTCTTACAGAAAAGTTGCAGTGTTTTCCAGAGGATCCTAGAAAGGACAGTAGAACAGAAGCCCCTCGAGAAAGAAGAGTTGCCCCTCTAAACATCACAGCCTGTGTTTAATTGCCACTGAAAGTCTTTGCACAAA